CGACGCCTCCGGTCCAGAAGTCGAAGGTTCCGGTCCAGAAGTCGACGGTTCCGGTCCAGAGGTCGACGGTTCCAGTCCAGAAGTCAACGCCTCTGGTCCAGAAGTCGACGGTTCCGGTCCAAAAGTCGACGGTCTAGGTCCAAAAGTCAACGGTCCAGGTCCAAAAGTCGGCAGTCTAGAAGTCGGCTGTCCAGAAGCCGGCGCCTCCGGTCTGCCTGCCTGCTTCCTCCCCAGCATTTGGATCCTCACTTTCGCTCCACTCACCAGCGCGCCTGACACAATGGATGTTTTGTAGGCGTGAGATCACCAAAGATGATAGAATCTTTTAAATCTTACTTTCAGATAAGCTGATGATGTTCAGCAGCTGAAACTGGGGTGGTGGCAGGAACTCATCCGCAGAGAGAAAATGAATGCCTGCTAGAAACAAAATAGAACAAACAAACCAAAAACCCCATACTGCTGGGAATCGACAATACAGCTTATCTGTGCAGTAACGTATCAAAATGATTTCAGTTTTAAGATAGTTTCTGTTTTTCTTCAATGTAACATCAACTGTCTCCACCTGCATCTACATCTGCAACCTTCTCAAAACTTACCTTGTCATTCCTACTTACCTGTACTTTCCTTCTTGGAAGATGTTTTTTGACCTTAAATGACGAGAAGATTGTAGGTACAGCTGTGTCCTTCAGGCAAAGTCTCCCCTAAAATAAAAAAAAGAGATTCACATACACACACATCAGACAAGGTCAATTTCTGTATCTCATAAACACACTGGTACACCAGAGCACTGTGTGTGTGCACGTGCTTGCGTGTGTGTGTGCACGTGTGTGTGTGTGTGTGTGTGTGTGTGTGTGTGTGTGTAAAAGCCATGTGGAGAGTGTTTATTTATAAAGCATATATGTCGTTAGATTTTATCCAGAATCCAGACTTTGAACATATATATTTTAATTACAGTTTGATTTATTTGACACCAGTAGAATGTTTATTATTTTGTTAATTTCTCCTTAAATGCCTAACGTTTTAGTTTAACATGAACATTTGTCATTCATCCAAATACATGAAGTTACACATTAAAGACTGACAAAAAAGTTAATTTTGATTATCTGAATAATTATCCATAGAATTAGATGGAAATTAATAACGTGATTGTTTCCCCATCTAAACAGCCCCAGTCACAGACAGTTCAAGGGAGGGGGGCATTTTTTTCTTGTTACACAGCAATGTAACATCTGTATATTATACAGCTAATGCTTCAATTATTTCAATCCTAACCAAAATATGAAGTAATGTGTTTGTATCCTGGAGTCCGTGGTGAAGTAATGACTCTCAAAGTGTTCACTGCACAAGCGGGAGTGTGAATTGGGAGTCCAGCACTCTCTTCTTTGGTTGCTTACCCAAAGGTCAAGCCTCTCTGGATCACCTAGAGGAAAACTTCATACAAAGAACTACTTAAGCATATGGGGTTTAAAACACGTACCATAATTTCCGGACAATCGAGCATACCTCAATATAAGCCGCACCAGAAAAAAAAAAAGAGCGAGTTTATCTGATGGCATACAGACTTCTGGAGACTAACATCAAGCACTATCAACCAACTCACCGATAGGGTTGTCACGGTAACCGGTGTAGCCGTAAACCCCGGTAAAAAAGTTGACAATAATAATAACCGTCTTGTTTTTAAAAATATATATTATCTCGGTGAATTACTGTGGCTGCGGTGTAGGCGCAGTGACCCTTATCAGCCACCGTATCATCTGCTGAAGCTGCAGGCGGCACATGCGCACTTTATTGTTTACAGCCAAAACTTTCTTGTAGCTAACCCCTTCTTTCCACCGGAGCCGTCAGCAGCACGTTACTGCAGCAGCACGTCATAGCTGCTGATAGGACCCGCTGTGGTCAACAGAACCTTTTGCACTGGAGCAGTCAGCAGCGTGAGTTGGCCGCGTCTCAGGAGCAGCATGTTGCGGCCCTTACCTGCCGGTTCTATTTTCTACGCGCGACGCCTCTGAAACGGGTCAAGTTCGACATTTTTGGGGAAGGAAAGACAGGAAATCGGACACGGAAACGGAGTGAAGCTCCCGAGATTTTCAGAATAAAGAAACGTACTGCCTTCCGGTTGCTTTACTTTAAAAAAAGTAACTAACTGTGCGGCCCCGTGAGAAGTTATCATCTAGCTAGCGGTCTCCTTTGTTTTTCAGGTCCGTATTGGCGATTATAAAATGGACAGAACATAAAACACAAACCTTTTGGAGCCATGTTGTAATTTTCTCCTGCTTGTTGTTGTGTTTACTGACGAAGTCACTCACATGACTTTGTGCTCTGTCTGTGACAGCTGCTCCCCTGCTGCTTCGCGTCTCGTGGGAAGGGCCAAGCAGCATCTTACGCAACTAAGACGTGCTGCTGCAGTGACGTGCTGCTGACTGCTCCGGTGGAAAGAAGGGGTAAAGCTGAAATAATGGCCAAAGGTGTCATGAGTCTGCTGTTTTTCCCTCTGTCTATTTGCAGGTGGGCGTGTCGGAGAGCCTCAGCTGCTGCTGATTTCCCCATCAGCAAGGCCAGGGGATTTAAGGAGTGGCGTGTCCACACTCCAGCGCCGGTTGATACTCTCACCTGGGTAGCTTCCAGCCTCGTCCTGAAATTGTACAATGTTTGCAATCTTGCTCTGCTTGTCCTGTTTACTTACCTGTCCTGCCCCCCAGATCTACTACCAAGTCTCAGCCTGAGTTCTCTTCTGTCCTGGAGTGTGTACCTCAGCCTCGCCACTCATTATCCCCTGGTCATCTGCTCTCCGCCGTTCACCTGCTCTGGATATTTGTCAACCACATCCATCCAGCCTCAACCTAATTCTCCAGCGACCAGACCTGACCTACCCTCTCCTCACATTCATCCTCTGTTCTGACTCCATAAGATCTCCCTTCCCTCTATTGTATCTTGTTCTCTCGTTCCTGGTTTAACCTCCGTGTGTTTGTTTCTATTTTTAGACCCCAGCCCGGTTTCCTCTTCGTCTAAGTTTGCCCTTAGTTCCCGTTGGCTTTTTCCAGCACCAGTTTGGAGCTGCATCCTTTATTATTATTTTTTCATTTAATAAAATCAAATTCTTATTTTCTTACCTCCTGCCTTGTGCTGATTCTTTCATGTGGGTCAGAAAGCTTCCTGCGATCATGACAAAAGGAGGAGACGGCAGCGCGCAGGACATTTATTATCCCTCAAAGAAGACAAAGTCGGAAGTTTGGGCATTTTTTGGATATTTGAAGAATACCGAGGGACAGTTGATAGAAGACGGCTTTCCTGTTTGCAGCACGTGCAGAAAAAGTGTCTGTGAAAGGCAGCAATGCTTCAAATCTCATGACACATCTGCGTAACCATCACCCACAACTCTACAGTCAACGCAAGGCAAGCTAACATTAGCGTTTTAGCTAAAATGCGTGATCCGAGGATTTGGGTTGAGGGAGAATGTAACAAGTCGCTATATAAAGCAGCCACAGCGCCGCTACCTGCATATAAACTGTGTCGTGGACACCGCCATGTTGAAATGACGCTATGCATTACGGGGCTCCCAGGGGCAGATAAGAGTTGGTCTCTCTCTGAGAATAATTATTAATTTAACAATGATTACTGCCTGATGACATTTTCCCACATCTGCAAAGCTCACTGGAAGGACACAAACCGAGGACAATAGGGTTTATTACTCAAGTAAGGGTAAAAAAGTATCTGATTAGAAGACTACTTGAGTACTGAGTATCTTCTGATCTAATATTTTTAAAATGATGACATCAAACAGAACAAAAAAGACGTTATGGGCAAATATTGGTATTTTAAAGACTAAAGGGGAAAAATGTAAATAAATTAAATACACAATTACAACATAACTAATTTTAGGCAAAATTTAGACACAAACCGAGGACAATATTTTCCTGATATACAGGGTGTATTTAGTTGTCTGAAAATGTAACACATTTAAAAAAAAACGCGATAATACTGAAAACCGTGATAATTTTAGTCACAATAACCGTGAGGTTAAATTTTCACACCGTGACAACCCTACTCACCGAGCTGCAGTATTTCTGTGGTCAGGTCTCTCTCCGAGTCCAAGAGCTCCACAAGCGGTCAGCCCACACAGCAGACAGGCACTGAAGCGGTCAGACATGCGCCGGGCTGACAACCGGGGAGAACCGGGTGGAAGAATGGAACACAGAAGTGTCCCTCCGAGAGCTCCATCATATTTCAACCCATTTTTATGTTAAATGCACTGGGTTTTACCTATTATGGAACTACGATTGGGACAATATTCAGCGTAACTTGTACCAAGTTTTGTAACTGCAAACATGTTTCATCACATGTAACTTTGGATTCGTAACTTGTAACTTTGGATTCGTAACTTGTAACTTTGGATCCGTAACTTGTAACTTTGGATTCGTAACTTGTAATTCTCAATTCGTACTTGTATTTTTGTTTTGTAACAGGAACATTGTATTTTGTACATGTATTTTTTATTTTGTAAACGCAAACATTCATTCAGAAACATGAAACTTGTTTTGTAACTAGCAGACTTCCAAATTGAAAAAATCAAAGTACAAGTTTCAAATCAAAACTCACAAAACACACATTTCATTCTACAGGTACAAACCTCACATCCTACAATGTTACGGATCATTTTGTCTCGATTCTAGCGCCAGTGGGAGTAACTTGGGTGGAACCAATGAGAGCACGACTCTTAGCTACCAATCACGTTTCTCGAATTCCTGTCCAATCACTGGGAGAGGAGGGCAGGGTTTTGTCAGAGCCGTAAAGAGTTACGACACTCCAAGACTCCTATGGAATGGGGAAGTCACGTGGTTCACGTAGTGTCGAATAGTTCCAAACAGCCCCGCTGCTGCATTGACTGCAGTTCATTTCAACTATTCGGTGTTTAGGAAGGATTTTCTCCGGTAAGTTGATGAAATGTCATCATTTTGTTGCATTGTGAAGCGTTAGCTAACCGCTTCGTTGTCTCCTCACAGAACAAGGCTATCCCAGCATGCTTTGCACGCCGGCTGTGGATTTTCAACAGGCAGAGAAAGGGGAGAGCTATTAAGTTTTAAACGTAAATTTGTTAAAAACTAGCCGTAGAAACCTAAAAAGCTTAAAGCGGTTCAGTTTATAGACATTTTTCGTTTGTATATTTGTTCTTTAAATTACATTTTAGGCAGAAATCAGCCAGAACGAGTTTGTATCGCGGGTCCCAGTTATTCCTGTGTGTGTGTGTGTGTGTGTGTGTGTGTGTGTGTGTGTGTGTGTGTGTGTGTGTGTGTGTGTGTGTGTGTGTGTGTGTGTGTGTGTGTAGCAAATTAAACTTGTCATTTGTTTTAAGGACAACGGAGCAAAGAAGCGTTTTTATTAAGCTTAGAGGTGAAGAGTGAAGCTGTTTACACACAACCACAGAAGTTCTTCTGTGAAAAGTAGTTTTACATTCGGGGATTTACACAGCTGACACGTTATAATGAAGTAAAACGTGTTTGTGTGAAGAATATACTTTTTATCTTCTCGTGTGGATAAATGTAAAAATGTGTTTATTGCCTTTTTGTCACCTGTGGTCTCTGATTTTCTCTGTAGGACTGCAGGTGTCCAGGGTCAGGAGAGGCTTTACCTGTCCTGGGAGAGAGGCCTTCTACTGTCATCATGTTATTGTTATTTAGCTGTTTGATATTTGAACACATTTATTAAAACAAATACTAACTGAGAACTCTTTCTGATCATTGATTTTATCACCAGTTTTATTATTACAGATGTTTTTGAACATGTTACATGAACAGAAAATGAAAAGATGGTAAGGAGACAAGATTATTTATAATAGGTTACATTTATTTACAGATCAAAACCAGTATGGACCAGTTATGTACGGTTAAAGCAGGATTAACCTGAGTGACTCTTCCTGGATCATTTATTTAAACTGAGTGAGCAGGAAGTCTTTAACAGTGCAGCTGGATCTGCTGCAGGAGGATCCAGACGTGGATGGAGGGCTGGAGCAGACCCGTGGCTGAAAGTTTCTGGTCAGAGGAACATCATACAGGATGGTCTGCAGAGAGAGCTTTGGGACGCTTCCTCTCACTGTGCACTCCATCGTCCATCTACAGGGCCTGCTGGGCTGGCTCAGACGACGGCTGTTACATCTCTGTGAATGACTTATCTGTTAACAATAGTGGTGGTCTGCTGGTACCTCCTGCAGGACAGAGCACCACTGACCTCCTCCACATACATCTTCCTCAGGCTCATCCTCCAGACCCACAACTTCACCAGCACAGAGGCAGATCTGCAGCACAGTGCATGCTGACCTGTAATAGATTAAATAAGAGTTTGGTTTTTTATAGAAAAATGTAAAACAAACATATAACCTGCAGTACACTGGTTCTGTTCAGTTTAAAGAAAAGCAGCAGGGAAAACTACAGAGAATTTACATTTTGAAGACAGATCTAATCATTATTAGGCTTAAGTTGAATAAACAAATGCACATTGAAAACAGTTCAATGTTATTTTATTAAAAAGCCAGTTTTTTAAAACGTTTTACCCTCATTTGATGCAAAATAAGTTCTATATATAATAAATAAATATTAATAAATAATAAATAGTTTAAATGAACTGCAGTCAATGCAGCAGCGGGGCTGTTTGGAACTATTCGACACTACGTGAACCACGTGACTTCCCCATTCCATAGGAGTCTTGGAGTGTCGTAACTCTTTACGGCTCTGACAAAACCCTGCCCTCCTCTCTCAGTGATTGGACAGGAATTCGAGAAACGTGATTGGTAGCTAAGAGTCGTGCTCTCATTGGTTCCACCCAAGTTCCTCCCACTGGCGCTAGAATCGAGACAAAATGATCCGTAACATTGTAGGATGTGAGGTTTGTACCTGTAGAATGAAATGTGTGTTTTGTGAGTTTTGATTTGAAACTTGTACTTTGATTTTTTTCAATTTGGAAGTCTGCTAGTTACAAAACAAAAGTTTCATGTTTCTGAATGAATGTTTGCTTTTACAAAATAAAAAATACATGTACAAAATACAATGTTCCTGTTACAAAACAAGAATACAAGTACGAATTGAGAATTACAAGTTACGAATCCAAAGTTACAAGTTACGAATCCAAAGTTACATGTGATGAAACATGTTTGCAGTTACAAAACTTGGTACAAGTTACGCTGAATATTGTCCCAATCGTAGTTCCATATTTACCCTTTTACCCATCGACATATACCCTTTTAATTATTGTACCGTATATTACATCTAAATTTCAGGGTTAAACAGTAAATGTTAAAATAGTAGTTAGCTAGCTACTTTGATAAACTCAGATAGCAAAAGGCGGAAGTGACCTAAAATACATAAACATAATTTTACTTACCGAAAAAAATGAAGTGGAGACTCCTTGGACGCTCTATTAGTGCAATTAATGCCACAGCAAGTCATTTTGTCCAACAATTGTACCAATAATATCCTAAAAGGAACACACAAACACAGAGACTCAAAATCCCGGAACAGTTTCCAGGTGAGACCGAGGCTCAACTGAGGCCTTTCCACGGAGCTAGCTCTGTGGTCACGTGGGTCTGATGCTCATTAATTATACAGAATTTTAGGCTTTTAATACACTTAAACAGAAGAGTGAGAAAAAAAATTCACCCCTCTCAGAGTTGTCATGAGTGTAAACTAGATCATTTAAACCAAAAACATGTTTTGGTACCAGGCTGTAAACTTGTTTATTTATGCTGTGAAATTGGTATTTTTAACATGGGAGTCAATGAAGATTTGCTCGCTTCTGACACCAGCCCCCAGTGGATGAGGGTGGAACTGCAATTTATGATACTTCTGGGTTGGCCTCAATTTTTGACCCGCATTGTGGGGGCTTGGTCTCCATGTATGACAGTTGTGGACGTTAAAATCTGATGGAAGACCAGAAAAAGGGCACTTTGGTCACTTCGGACAAAAAGGGCAAGTACTACACTACACTACACTGTATTATACTATACTACACTACACTATACTGTTAGAGATTTTATCAATATATTTATCAATAAACCCATTTCCTGCAGCTAGAGAGAGACAGGAAACAAATTAAGCAGACAAGTAAACCAAATTGCAATCTGTGGCAAAAGCATGAGGCAAATGCCCCGAGGTTCTGCTCACAGTGTTTATATATAACAAAGCATAAGAAAGGAACAGAGGTGTGTAATGATTTAAATTACATGTTATTTAATAAGCCATAAGGCGTAGGATTCCCTAGGAAATATGAAATCAACCTTATGGATCTGTGAGGTTATTTTAAACCAGAAGATTGGAACTTTTTAATGCAGCGATTAGATAACAGCTTCGTATTCACTCAGAGACAACAGAAAAGAGAGAGTCGAGTTTAAAAGTTTAAAGATTTATTACTAAACAAATTAAACTAGACTGACTTTAAAACTAAATGTATGGTGTAACTAAAGTGGATGAGACGGTGAATGGATGACATGTGATGTTAATCAACCAACAAATCCGAAGAAGCGATTTGTTCTGACGGGAACTGTAGGTGATGTCTTCGCATTAAGCTTTGATTAGGAGGTTCATAAACACATGAGACACCATTTGCCGGTCTACCTACCCTTCAGGAAGTCCCCTTTAGATCAGGATTGTTGAGGTCCAGCTTGACCTTTTCTGGAACCGAAGCCGGTAGGAAATGCAGTGGTTGCCGACTAGTCTGTGAGATACTTTCGGGTCAAGACGGTTTTGTTGGTGTCTGGTGAGACCCAAATCTGGGTCTTGAGGGTTCAGCTTTTATTCTGAAAGGAACCGTTGCAGCAGTTGGAACAGCAACAGATTTTATCCAGCTTGTCGTTGGTTCTTTCGGCTGAAGAGGAAAGTTACGGATTGGCCACTCCGACACATTCTCTAGAACGCTTTGAACTGGCGTTAAAGATGACGTGGGCATAGTTTTATACTTCGGATGTTTTGATTTATGGTCGAATGAAAAATTGACAGATTTACCAAACACCACCAAAACCCCGCCTCCGTCAGATCTGGCAGATTCTGATTGGATCAGTAAAAGTAATGTGTCATGTCTTTTAACGCTACGTGAGATCAGTCCTGTTGGAACATTTAAGTCATAGTACTCATCATATTCTATAGGATTATAATAAAGTAATTAATATTTTGATTTCACAGATTGGTCACATCTTATTTAATGACTAACACTTGGCGTGATTAGCTTTATTAAAATAGTTTTTTGATTAATTAAAAGGAGATAGTCCATTCTTCATTCTTCTCTTGAGCTGAAAAGAAGCAGTTTTATAAGCGAATGCATGAGACCTTGAGGCCATATCTCATGCAGACTAGTTCTGTGTCAAAGAAGAGGGGGAAACAGTCATTTCATTCCGTTACATATCCCCCCTTTTCAATGGTGGGGTGGTCCGTACAGAGACCACCTGGCGTTGAACAAACCAGAGTCCTAAAGGGACTCAGACGACAGGGGAAGGTGCAGTTCCCCAGGAAGAGGCCAACAGTGGTGAGGTACAAACACCACTCCGAAGAACAGTCTATGGTTTACACAGTCTCGCATAATCCCTTTGGAAGCACACAAGTCAGCAGATTATTAAGGTATCCACGTGGAGGTAATAATTCGAAGCAGGAGCAAAACTTTATTTATCCACGGGTAGGGAATACTTCCAAAAGAGTATACTGATCTTTGTAGTAGCACTTATCGTGATTCAGTGTGGGAAAGAGCAGCAGGTCAGGTCCCAGCGAGCGAAGTATCCCAGCAGCCATGCCGGAACAAACGGATGTGCAGGTCCTACGAGCCGGAACACCCATCAGGAGGAGCGGAATACGATGACGAGTCATAGGTCCACCCCCAGGGAAGCGAGGATTATCAGCGAAACTCAGGAGAGGAGAGAGAGCACAGCACAGGGCAATTCAATGTAGACACAACAAAATGGCGTCTAATGCAAATTAACAAACAAAAAGAAACCTAGCACTGTCAGTACCTGCATGTACTATGTGTAGGCAATTATGTGAATTAACCTTAAAGCGAAGAAATGGGTGCAATAGACTACATGTAATGCAAAAAGTGGTGCAAAAAGAATAAAATTAATAAAATCCTATACTGCGTATGGGAGAAATCACTGTACTAAGTAAAAATGTCTTCAAAATGAAGGGCGAAATTGGTTGTAGCTCATAATGGTAAATTAACTAAGTTAATCATAAAGTTTTCAAAACAATCACTGTTGTAAAGTTCTATAAAAAGATAGATATATGAGTGTCAAAGAGCACTAAAATGTAAATCAGTGAGGTTAGTAATCAACCTACACGTGAATGTACCCATAAGGAATTACGATTACTGAAAATAATTTTTAAAAAAAATTGGATAACAGTGATATGTGGACTAAACCCATTTACTGTTAACTACCTGATTACCTGACTTCAGGAACCCACAGCATGTTCATCTCAAATCACCCAAGTCTGCACGTCATGTATAAACAGGAAAGACAACCATGCACACACAAAAACATAGACAAACTTGTGTAACTCGAGATAGAGAGCTATGGAACCGACGAGGCGTGAAATCACCCCCCTTTCGAAGTCGGTAAGTTGTTGGTGGTAGCATTGACCAAATTAGTGGAACCCTTGTGCAGTTTGATTTGGTCCCTGTGGACCCATTTGTAGACGGGTTCCTTGTATGTTTGGGTAATCTTGATCTGATACACGACTGGAGAGAGCTTATCTG